GTTGTAGGAGTCTTGTGCTCCGTTTCATGTCTACAGTGTCCTGATGCCATGTCCCGTTCAGATTAAGTTGATAGTAAAAAATGATCATGGGAGAGATGGATGTACTTGCTTGCGTTTAAAGTCGAAAGTAGGAAAAAACGTGTTTTTGTAAAGAAGATGCAGACCCGATGTCTGGGACAGTGGGTTTATTAGTCTGAGCTTTCGGTCTCGTACAGGAGGCCATCGTCAGAGACTGTGAGAAGGCAACATCAAATGAGCGGTTTTTGTAGTCACGCCATGAAGGGGGGGGGGAGAGATATGAGTGCAGAGGGTGGTATTCGCGATAATTTGCGTCCCACGCCGTCTCACGGTGGCGTGACTGCGTGCACCCTTGGCTGGAAATTGGGTCTCGCCCCTTGGCCGCGGGAACGGAGCCCGTGATAGCAGGGGGGTATGTCAACGTGCCTGTTGATAGAGTTGGTGCCAGACACCCAGGCCTCCAGCAGTTCTCACCCCGCCATTATCCGCATACTCGCAAAGTTAAATTCGTGGCCTTCCTCCAGGGTGTGAGTGGCGATCTGAGACAACGGGTCGCCTCTCCGGACCGCCCGTTTGTGCTCCGTTATTCGTGAGCTAAGTCGTCGTCCGGTTTGTCCTGTGTAGTGGCGAGGACAGTCCCGACATAGGATCTGATAGACGACGCCCGATTGTTCTCCCACGTCTAGGCGATCCTTCACTTGCATGATTTTGCTGCGCTTGGTCGCTGTCGGACGGTGAGCGATACCCACGCCGAACTCTCCAGCGATACGTTCCATCGCTTCGGATACGTTCTTTATATATGGCAGAGGGTGCCAGAGTGTTGGCGGCTCTCCTCCGTTTGTTCGCCGTGGGCGCGTGCGGAGGCAGCGGCTGACGAAGCTGTTCGGGTATCCATTCCTTGCCAGTTGGTCCCGAAGATGCCGAAGTTCTCGTACTCGTCCCTCTGGTTCACTGCAGTGCGTTTTTACCCTCTGGAAGAGTGTCCTAACACAGCTGCGTTTATGTGCCATTGGGTGGTTACTGTGGTAGTTGAGAATCTGAGTCGTGTTCGTCGCCTTTCTGTACACCGTCGTGTTAAGTTCGCCGTTGAGTGTGCGTGTGACGAGAACGTCAAGGAAAGGCAGCTGTTCGGCATGTTCTTCTTCCCTTGTGAACTGAATGTCTGGGAAGATGCCGTTGAGCAGGTCTTGGAAGTCGGCCAGTCTGCTCCTTTCAATTATGACGAACGTGTCGTCCACGTACCGGCGCCAAAATGCAGGTTCATAGTGGTCGAAGGCGACTTTTTCCAGCTCCTGCAGGACTAGTTCTGCAACCAGGCTGGATATTGGCGAACCCATCGGCGTTCCTTTGATCTGCTCGTATGTTCTGCCATTGAAGGTGAAGAAGGTTTGTTGGCAGAAAGCAAACAGTTGCAGTAAGTGGTCGATTTTTAGGGGTTTGTTCGTCTCGTCGTAATTCTCTTCGAGTCGTTTGCGAAGAACGTCGCGTGCCAGGTCCGGTGGGATGGACGTGAATAATGAAACCACGTCAAAGGACACCGTAATCTGCTCCGGTCGGACAACTTTTCCTCGGCTGTCGGCCAGGAATTGGGAGGCCGAATTGATGGAGGTCCTTGAGCCTTCTCGGAGAAAGTTAAGTTTTCGGGCCATCCACTTAGATAAATTGTAAGTGGGGCTGCCTTTCAAGGCAACGATCGGTCGAAGGGGAACATTGGGCTTGTGGATTTTGGGCAATCCATAAAACCGGGCCAGTGCCGTGTCCGTTGGTTTCATCTGTCGCCATTCGTCTAGCGATATAGCACTGTTTCGCTTGAGTCGGTTCAGGAGTCCAGTTAGTTGACCAATCATCGATTTGGCTCGCGAGGGAAGCGTGGACTTGTAGGACTGTTGGTCGTCTAGGAGGGCTTGTGCCTTTTCGTTGTAGTTAACGCGGTTCATCACGACGGTTGCTCTTCCTTTGTCTGCTGGCAGCACTATTATATCTTTGTCCATTTTTTATTCCTTCAATGCTTCTATTTCTGCGGGCGACATATTATTGATGGGCCTGTCCGTCAGCAGTAGGGAGGTGACTTTCTGGCGTACGGTGTGTTTAGCCTCGTCGGTCGCGTTGGTTCTTACCAACATGGCTTCCAGTGCGGCGATAAATTCGGCCGGTTTGGCATCTGCCGTATTAAAGTTGGCTTCACGACTCAGCACTCTCAGTTCTTGTTCAGTTAACTGCTTGGAAGATAGATTGTGCACCACATTTTCGTTCGTCTTGTATTCGGGCTTCAAATTTCCGAACTTCTGCTCTAGGTTCATGCTGACGAACAGGCCCATCAATAATATGTCGGTAATACTATTCTGCCTATATATCATGCGCCGCTGTGCGGCTGCTGGTTGGGCTCGAGAGAGAGCCCTTAAGGCACAACGGAACGAGTGAGTTCCGTATGAACGATCGGTGAGCGCCCCCTACCACACAATATATATATATATATATATATATATATATATATATCCCGTTCATCATCCCCAAAAGAAGACGAAGAAGAAAAAGGGGCGATTGCATGGACCACAGTGTATTGGTGCTGACGTTTCGGAAACTTCCTCGTTTCCATCATCAG